TAGTTCAATTTTCCCTCCTTGACGTAGTCACACGTACAAGTCATAAATGTCATAGACAATCGGATGCGTCAAGCCAATTTCTGTTACAACTGATTCGACAGTGGTCATGTGATTCACTTCTTCCTCGTCAATTAATTCCTCGTCAGATTTATCGTCAACCGCGGTGCTCGGAGACGAACCTGCCCGTCTCCATCTTGAGGAGGAAAAACGGAAGAAAAATCCTTGTATTTGGGCTTTGGTCAGCCACTCTTCCCGGGAAAACAGGCGCTCCCCGTTTTCCCCCTTTGCTTTCCTCATATCTTGCGAGACTTGTCGCAGATCCTCTTTACTTCCAGATTGCTCACCAATTTCAAACTTGGAGGTGAGATACTGCCTTACTTTCTCTTAGAAGCGAACAGCGCCACCTTTTGGCTTATGAAGTGCCCATCCTTCACTTAAATTCGACTGGAAAGGTTCGCTACCCTGTCTCTCGATAACGTTGGTACTGCCGTCTTCTGAAAGGGTAAGGGATGAGGATTTTTCAACCCAGCTTAAATCTAGTGATTTCAAAGCTGTTCTAATGTCAAAAATAAAGGAAATGACCCATGAATTCCAGTGCTCAGTGGAAGGATAATTACACCATCAAGCAGTGACCCAATGGCCCTTGTAGCTGTCTATAAAGGAGAGATTGTAAGTTGGCTATGAAAATTACACTTTTTCTCTTTTTGCTTTGACTTTGTGAGGTGGTTTTGTCACAATTTGAACGGACATGCGTCACTCTTACGTAATGTTTTAACGAGAAACCAAACAGCATCATTTTATTTCCAAGTAGGTATATATTCAGCCGTTCTTAGCCACCATTTTGCGAGAACAAAGTATATGTATATATTAAGAGTGGTACAAAAAAAAAACAGTTTACTTGTAAAAACCTTCGTGTTTTTTATATCTTTACACACTTATAAAAAAATGGAAAGGGTAAATGGAGAAAAAAAAAAAATGTGTCCTGCATAGCAGTCTTTCAAATTTCCTTTTAGCCGACAGTGAGTCGTGCAGAGGCATGGGGCGAAGGCAACCCAAAAAAATTAGGAGCAAAGGGAAGAACTTATTTAGCCGGCCTTTTGCATGTATTTGAATATACAACGTAATAAGCGTGGTACACCAAAGAATCGGTTTACTTATAAAACTCTTTGTCGTTGTCATATGAAAAAAAAAAAAAACAGGAAAATTGCAAATGAAAAGAATGGGGTTTAGTGATAAAAGGTCACATCGAATCAAGGAATGAGTTGAAACTAACATAGTTCACTTGACAATTGTATGTCAGGCTTATAAGTGGAAAACGCTAAAAATTGTACATTGCTAGTTTTATTAACACCTTACCTAAATGACATTGGTTACTGTTACGGAAAATCATTTTTTAGAGTCAGCTTTGTATAAAGCTATAATTTTGCATACATTCTTGGGAACAGCAAAATGACTTAGAACAAACCTTCTAAGTCTAGTGTTCATTCCGTGCAATAACGCATAAATAAAAGGTTCTGGAAGAAAAGACACCTTATTTTATACCACTGAGGACAAGAAAAAAGCTCATATGGGTACCTCGGTTAAAAATATTTAAATAACTCTATTAATTAATACCAGTTCTAATTTAAAGGAAAAAGTTATGAGGATAAAATAAAAGTTGTCTGTACCATGAAGCATGCCTTCACTGTTTAGACTGAGAGTCCTAAAGCTTTTTTAGCGTGTATTCGAATATCTTATCACGATAAGTCCGCCACCCACACCACCCTGCGCCGTACTGTTTTCATTCAGCGGCTGGTCAGCGGTCACCTTTATGAGGTAAACATGGCGATCACCTCCTGATCACCGTTCTTGTCGATCAGAAAATCAAAATACCAGCGTGATATGGCCTCGAAGATGACGTAGTTATTTGTTTGATTCGTACTTCACATTCGAGTCGAAGCTTGGGGGCACAGGTTATTTCTTACGGTGGAATCGACAAGGAAATTCGAACACTAGTGGTCACTAGTTGTAATGTTTGAATTGTTGGAAGAAATGGTCGCATGGGGATGTAGGAATGGTAAGTTTAACGAACAGTGACAAATTTTGCCCCTTGAATTGAAAGTGAAGTTCATTTGAATGCTTTCGTATATATTTCTGACTGTTTTAGATCTACCTGCTCGATTTATATCTGCTACGCTTCATGTTGACAAGTCCTCAAAATGGCGGCAAAACTTGAGGTTGCCGAAAATGAGGTAAGTTCACGCAGTTATAAAGTTTTAGTAAAGGTCGGGCCGCAAAGTTTTTTCCGTAGTTACCTTTTCTATGGCACCTACTTCCTAGCTATATTAGTTGGATCAGTTAACAACGCCTCACTTTTTCAAAAATGTGCCTTGAATTTGATCGGTCTTCGCGTGTGTGACTTAAGCGAACCGATAAGGTGTCGTTCAAGTCTTCCTGTTTGCTTGATTGAAACGTGATGTTCACGAATGTCGCGTCGATGGATAAGATAGTGTTAATATACATGGCTGTGGTATTTGTTTTTTGCTGAGTTCCGTAGTTTGTTGTAAATTGTCCGGCAAAGTTGCCTCAAATTAACGTCTTGAAAAGTGTCACGACAGGCCTTCGCTCGAGTGAAATTTAATTTCCGTAAAACTCTGAAAAATAAAGAGATCCGATCAAACGGATTGTGGTTTTAGTATAGGAACATGAATGTCTTACAACACACAAGAAATGAGCTAAATCTGTGCCTCAAGGAAAATCGACCGGACCGCTCTTACAGAGACACTCTCTTTATTGTTGGAAGAAATGGTCACATGGGGATGTAGGAATGGTAGGTTTAACGAACAGTGTCAAATTTTGCCCCTTGAATTGAAAGTGAAGTTCATTTGAATGCTTTCGTATGAATGTCTGACTGTTTTAGATCTACCTGCTCGATTTATATCAGCTACGCTTCATGTTGACAAGTCCCTCAAAATGGCGGCAAAACTTGGAGATTGCCGAAAATGAGGTAAGTTCACGCAGTTATAAAGTTTTAGTAAAGGTCGGGCCGCAAAGTTTTTTTCCGTAGTTACCTTTTCTATGGCACCTACTTCCTAGTTATAAAAAAATTGTGTCAGCTTGAGTTGTTTTCCTTTGCTAAGATTTCTAGTAGGGAAACTTGAAAACATTGTACTTCAGAAGTTTTCAGTTTATACATGTATGTGTATGTCTGTTTGGCTTAAAGTAGGCCTTTACTGGAGTACCAACAGAAGTAATACACCCCAGTTTTGCTGTTTTGTCACAGGTTTTGTGTTCATTTGAAATAAAAACATTGTGATTTTGAGGGCACAGTTCTTTAGAAAGAAACAAGTGCCTCCTCCCTCTCAAATAACTACTCCCCTTTTGTCTTAGAAAATTAATACGTGCCACAGGCACCATTACATTCAAGCATTTATGGTATCTGCATTGTTTTTAGGTTTCAAGTTTCAGCTTTGAATAAAAGATGAGACCCTTCCTTCAGCAGTTCATTGCTGTAAAGGGTACCAAGGTTAACTTTGATTGATTGTTTATTTAAAAAATATATGTGTAAGAAATTATTGTAACCTGAAGTTAACCTTGAAAATGCACACACACTTATTGACACTACACTGTAAGTTAGCATTTGGTAGCTTATGTACTTCATAAACTACTAGTCAATCCTTCACGCAAAGCAGATTTCCTTGAAACTTACATTATTTAATCTTTTGTCTGGAAAAAAAGAATAAATTTTTTATATACAAGCTTTGTTGTAAAGCAGCTTAGCTGTACGGCATTATTTTTACATAGGTACTGCAAATCTTCATGAGCTTATGGACCAACTGGTGAAGAACAATTCAACAGCTGATATCCTTGGAGATCACCCAAGCTCGGATGCATTCTGGGCAATCATCAATGCCTCACATTGGCCCAGTGATAAACAAATAACTGACAGCAATTCATCTCATTTGTTACAACACCTGCTTGAGAATGAAATTATTTACTCTAGAAAGATGGAAATTGATCAGCTTTCTGAAGGGTTACAAGTTTTGGGGTTGTTACAGGTAATACAAAAAAACCCTACTGTCTGTTATGAATTGCTGTGTTACAATCCCAAACTGAAGTTGACTGCCGAAAAATTTCTCAGTCAAGTTTTTCTACTAGAACCAGCCGATTTTAGTGAAAAGCAAAGCTATAATTGGTTTTTGAAGTTTGTGAATTCAGCAAATGAAGAAATGCTGGCATCTCTCCTCCAGTTTATCACTGGACACAGGTCCATTCCTCCCCGGGGCTTGCCTCACCAAATCTGCATCAAGTACCTGCCTGATGATGACTCTGCTTCACTGCCTAAGTCGGTTGCATGCTTAGCAGTCCTAAATTTGCCAACAGTTCATTCATCAGAGAAGAAATTCATGGAGAGCTTAACAATAGCATTGCAGTGTGAAAGTCAAGGATTTGGATCTGCATGAAAGGAGAAACTCTTATGTCATTATAAGAGTAAGCCAGACAAAAACTGTCTTGTTGATCTTTGTAAGACATCTCCAAACAAGGCAAGATGTGTCTTTACTGTTCAGTCTTTATTGACCACATTTGTTGTTGTTATGTTAGCTGTGATTCAAATGAAGCTTACTCAGTGACTTTTTATGGGCTGAGACTTGATTGTTAATCAATAATTATCCAAAGTTCATATTGGTAGGTTGTACTTGTATTAGTCATTGGAGTGTGCTGTTTGTCTTTTGCCATGATTGAAGGTTAACCCTGTCACCCCTAGACTGAGATATGGCGACAGTATATGCCATTCTAACTTTTGCATCTGATACTATTCAAAAGAAATCCTCTTTGGCAGAAATTTTGCCTAGTACTATTGAAACAATTATGAGCATTTTACAGAAAGAATTTTTTGGGGGAAACGTTTACTTTTCCACTATTAAGAGTGAAAGAGTTCAAAAGAAAAAGATTGCCTCCACCAACTGCACAATGGTTTAAAAACCTTAGGCCTGATTTTTTTATTTGAGGAAAGAGGAGGGCTATGGCACGCCTAGGAGGCTATGTAAGCAGTCAACAACTTGTAAATATATGTCAATTCCAAAAGTTTGGCTATTAGCCATTGGGTTGATCTCCATCAGGTGATGCTGTAGCTCTTCTGAAGAAATAGACAGGTCAACTTCTGGGACTTCTACTGCACCAGTGTCAGATGAATCTCTACCCCATGCTTGATTAGGCAAGGGCCCATCATGATCAATGCCATAATGTTCAATTTCATGCTGCAGGAAATAAGCAAGTCATAGATAATGAAGGGGTTTGTGGAATAATACCCCCAAGTGACCCACTATCTAATGTCCAATTCTCTTTTTCATTCAAAAGCATATAGAAATGTTAAAGTTTTTCAGAAGTCAGTTAAGGTGTTATTCCAGGCACTCCTTCATTAGTTGATAACACATCTGTTTTATGACAAGAACTAACTAGTGATCTCTATCCATACAGTAGTACAATACATCTGTTACATTTGTCAAGATTTTTGGTTAAGTTTTAAAGAGCCCGACATCTAAGTTATGAACATTATTTTTTAACATGTTGCTATTGTTCTTCATCTTGTTGCATGTTGATAAATTACAATATTATTGGAGATTACAGTTATTTTTTGAGAATTGCTTGGGCAGCCTTTTGTATACTCGGGATAACTGAAATACGAATTTGCAACTTTACCACAATATCACAATTTACCTGCTCCAAATCCAAATCAATCAGTTGTTGACGAAGACCCCAAACCCAAAGCTGAGCTGGAGACATATTGCCCTCGGTTGACAATGGATGATGATTCCACCCCTCAGCAAAAACCTTTAGACTACTGTTGATCCTCTCTTTAAACACATATCTAAGTGCAAACAAATGAACATCATTTCCTATGTCAAGCAGCCCCTCGTTTTCCATGTACTGAAAGAGGCTGTAAAATATATAGAGACATCCACTGAAAACGTCTCGCCAGAGTCGTTCTATTCGTTGGTTATGGCAGCTCCTTCCAGCAATGAAGCTGCCTCTATCAGGGCCTCTTAGGGGATGAGTGAACATAAACCAAGCAATGTCGACATTTTCTACTCCTTTGTCACCACGAACTCTGGAAGGCAATCCAAAAACTTCTACTGCATCAAGGAACAGTTTAAGAACTGTCTGAGCTTTGTTGTCACAATTACATCTGAGGTATGTAATCTGGCGTGAATACCCATCAATCCCACCGTGGACAACAAAACCCCATCTAAGAATTCAAACAAAGGTGGTCTCAAGGTCTTACAATAATAAATGATTTATAGTCCCTTGCATGCCTGGATAGTATGCAGCTCTTTAGAACCTCTTAATTCATCAGATCTCGATAGCATGTAGCTTTATTTTTTTGCAGGCCTGGTTCCATTGTCTTTGTTTTTTGTTCTCAGCCACTCCTGTAAGTGCTCGCAAGGGCTGCATACTGCCTCAAGAATTCTGGGCACATCAAAACTATGGTATTTTTAAAGTGCTTTATACCTAATTTCCACAACAAGCCATTCAAGATAATTCTGCACATTCACGACTTAAATTAGAAATGTACAAAACGTAGACCTAGAGTTTCAGCCTGAACAAGTAAACAATTTTGGTCCAATCAGAGATTCAGAATTTTAACCTTTTCTTGCCACTTTCCTTCTCATCTGTTCATGTGTTATGCTAATTGCACAGATTAAGTTCAAATTGCACTTTAATAGTTGTAGAGACTTACCTGATGAGTTTATGATTCCCATCAATGTGCCAAAGGGATAAGGGTGATCTCACAGTGTAAATTCGTCTTTCAACCGTAGTAAGTTGAAGGGCGCGCATCAGAATTCCCTCCGGACAAACACGTCTCATGCTGTCTTGAATCCGACGCCACTGGACATGTAGTCCTTTTGCTCTCAAAAAGCCACGCATTCTTCTGTATCCACAGTTGGGGAACATTGCCAAAATATTAAAGCTAAACAAAAACACACATTTCACATAATGACATGCAAGTTACACATAAACGTGCAAGCAGACTAAATTGGTGCAAAAGGTTTGTGTCAAGCCCTGCCCATGAAGTCTCCTTGCTTTCCCATCATGGCTGACCAACCCAATTTAAAAAAGAGGATAAGGATTTCATAATTGACCCTTGAGCGACAACATCACTTCTGTATTAAAATACAAAGTCTACTACGACCTTTCTGAATGATAATTACCTTTTATCAACACCAGTTAGATGTGTTCCACACAGGAAAATGAGTGTAAGTCACATATTCATCATATCCCTTTGACTTTTTTTAAAATAATTTGCACAATCATTGGAGTTTCTGATTCATTTGAAGCTCTGATTGAATTTTAGTCTACAATAAACTTAAGGGGAAGGTCGTAGACACTTTCAGCTATATATGAGAAT